AGGCCGCCACGGCTTCCTAAGGTTGCAGCTCCGGAAAATGCCCACCGAAATCGTAGGAGTCCACGTAGTGCCCCCGGGCTATTTGACTGACTGACTCTGACTCCGACTCTGACTGTGACTCTGACTGTGACTCTGACTACGACTGCATTACATTTGGCAAGACAACAATGGGCCTTTTTTTTCGGCGGCGTTGGGCGTTTTTATTTTTACAGATATTGTTTACAATTTTCCAGGTCCAGTACCCAGAGCTGTGCCCTCTCATTGTTGGAGCAAAGGCTGTGGCAAATGCTGAATCTGTAGCTGTAGCTGGAGCTGGAGCTGCTCCAATCATCATTTCGTAGATATTCGCTTGGTGATATATTTTGGGTGAGCGCTTCCGGCAAATCGGAGCCAGTGAAAGGTCAAGTTGTGGCCAAGAAAAGCAGCCGGAGCCAGCGGAAAACTGCTGCCCAGGGAGCTGTGTGCCATTGGAATGGGATTGCGAATCAGAGATACAGGAAAGGGTCGTTATGTGAAGTCTCTTCTTTAACTGAAAGTGTTGAAAAAAATGTATAAGCAATAAAAGTATTTTAACTGTGTTATAAAACACTTAAGCCCTGATTAAAATATTTATTTTTAAATATTTATTGGGCTTATAATAATGAAATAAATTGAATTTAGAAGTAAATAGAATTTACTAGAATTTTAAAAGGTGTCTTTAGTGATGGAGGCTCCACTGTGCTTCGTGTGGCATCGAAATAAACAAATCAAAGTGAGCCAATGTGCGCCTTCTTTCCTCTTCTCCTTGTTGCTGTGCTGAATCTTGTGGTATGTGCTCAATTTTCCATAACATATTTGATCGCTGCGATCTTTGCAATCGCCTCTGACTTTCCACTTTTCCCTTTGTTCGCGGCTTTTGTTCGTGTGTGAGAAAAACTTATCGAATCGTGGCTATCGTTTCGGGGATTTTTGGGTTTGGATTCGGATTCGGATTCGGACGCGGGGTTCAAATTAAGCCAGGTGACCACGGGGCCAACGAGCTGACAAACCTCTGCTCTCTTGGAATGCCTTCTCGCACACGAAGATGATCTCCCTTGTGGCACATACTATATGGTGTATATATAGTGCTTGACAGCCTCCAGATAAACCACATTCGAGATCATTAATTGCCGATCTTTTCGCTCCAAAAAACTGCCCGCCGCCAGTAGGATTCGGCTGGGGATGGTGTCTCGGGGATTGGGTCTTGGGCATGGGAAAGCGCGCTTGGGCGAAGATCATTCAACTCCCACAGACACCCACACCCACACGGCACAAATGGCACACAATCCAGCAGACATCAAACAATGATCACGAGTACTGCCCTCCGCACTCCTCCTTCCTCCTCGGTGGTGCTGTTTTATTTATCTTTTTTCCCCCCTTTTTTACTGTATTTTTTGGCGGCGGTGCGGGTGCGGTTGCCTTTGCCTTTGAGCCTGAGTGTTTGGCTTTGAGTTTGACTTTGCTTTTGGGCCAGATCGATGCTGGCCGGCTGCTTGATGATAGCCTGCGACTATGACTCGCCTTGGCCTGGCTTTGAATTTTTGTTCACTGCAAGAAATGTATATTTAAATAAATAAGGAAAAGAAATAATGAGTTTTCAATGATTCGAATTAAAAACCATTATAAATATTCATCTAAAATATATATACTTCTTTATTTCCTAATATCTTGTAATATAATGTCTTTAGAAACTCTGGGACTTCTTGGTAAATAAGATTTCTTAATCATTTAAATTTAACTTTCCATTAACTTTTGAATTCTTTCCAGTGTATTTGCCTTTTCCCCATTGATCGGTCTTGGGCCTGGGTCTCGTCCCCCAAGGGCCTTTCGATTGAACTTGTTCCACATTTTGATTGTAATGCTGCTGGAGAAAAGAGCGGCAAGACAAATATGATTTTCAATTGCCGCGATCGCGATCGCTTTCACAAGATTTGCATTCCACTTTGCATTGGCAACTCCCCCTTCTTTTGGCCATTAAACACTTGGCCAGAAGTCAGAGTTCAACTGGGTTCGATTCGATTTCCTTTTTGCTCCGCTTTGGCTCATTAAAACGTCACTCCAGTTGGGGATATTGCCATTGCCACAAATCAAAATATTTATGGCCAGCTTTAACCTAATGAGTGGCGGTACGAAATGCTCGATTTACCACCCAAGACGGCTATAGTAGATGCACCGCATAAATAGCCACAAAGTGTGTCGTAAAAGCGTCCAAAGTGATCATCAAAATGTTACTCTTTTGGGGGAAGGACAACATTCGGGGGGAGGATTGGGGGATCTTGGCACTGGGGGCCACCTGCCTGGAGGCGCAGCAGCCCCAGTTTATCAGGCCCAGTTCCCTGTACAAAATGCTATGCAAATTTGGTTTTTATTTACTGGCGGCTGCCAGAACAAGTGCAAAAGCCTCTGACTTGGTTTTTCCATTCCCAGGTGGTCTGGCAGTGAGAGAAATTTCAAGAGGGAATATAGGGGAAATTATTCATTTAAATAAATCTTATTGTTTGATTTGTATTTTCTATTAATTTAATTTTGGGAGGAGCTACTATATAAAATATATTTCTTTTAGAAATAATGAATATTCTTAAAAAAATTAATCTATATTTTCCCGTGCATCTGATTCTCCCAAACCCACAGGCATACCCTCTTGCACCCATCCTGTTGCGGTGTCCATTCTGCACCATTTACCAAGAGTCAACTCTGGATTTTATGTGTGTTTGGCATTTGCAAAATGCGTTCGCATGCACATTTGAATCAATCGCTGACTCAGATTGGTTTCGTCTTCGTCTTGGCCGTTTTTTATGACGATCGTGGACCGGTTGGGGGATCGGCGGATGCAAGATGCTTTTGAACTGCACTGATATCGCTCCGATTTGACATTTAGCATCGCTAATTCATGCGAAATCACCCGAGGATTATGTTCATAAGCACACATTACGATTACACGTTTATTATAATTTAGGAGTTTACAGTCCGATCTGGGATCGGATCGAGTCCGGCGACCAGCAGACCACCAGTTGTGGTCTTGGGAAAGTCGCTAGTCGCTGACAAAGACACTTCCCAGGCGACGAACTGAGATCACTTAGTGCTGAATCTCTGAGATACGAGATGCGTTTTCTTGTTTTTACGACTCACAGATGACCTGGAAAGGCACTGGGAAAGGAAAGAGTTTGCCAAATGGACCAAATTGTTAAATGGAGGCGGCTAGATAAGGGAGTTCGAGTGGCCGGACGTGGACTCTGGAGAAAGTAAGCGGCGATGGGCAGATCTAGGGAAACTTTCAAGTACTTTGGAGATGGATTTTGACTTTTTAATTCTTCCTTTAAAGGGTTACAGCTCCTTTATATATGCTGGTTTTGCCTTTATTTTCGTCATTATAGTTTTCCTAGTTAGTCATGATCTATGCTGAACCACAACAGCAGGTGTATAACGATGCAAAGCCGCAAAAGAATACGAATTTTAAAGCTTTTTCAAGTTCGATGCGCTCGTTTGTGACATGTGCGCGGTTCCACCAATCAAGGTACAAAGCCTGAGAGAAGGGAACCTGGAGAGGAAAGCCATATCCATATCCATATCCAACGATGGGGAGCAGCTCCACTGCAGCGACTGTCTCCGCACTAATTGAGCATTTAAATGCAGCGTAATTACTTCTCTAACACCTTCATCAGAGGCAACCGTCAACGGGCCGCCTTTGATGCGCACTGCGAATTAGCATATAAATTGTCCCGTGTGAACATAAAATCAAATGACATGTGAGTTTGTCAAAAAAGCCAGCCTCAAAGTGCCGCTGGTGCAGACTGGCCAAGACGGCGAAACGGCAGAAGGCAGAGCCAGAAAGCAGAAAAGCTGGCGGAAGGACATGATAAGGTGGAAAAATCCAGTCATTAGCATAGCGAACGTGCAGCTAATTGGAAATGGAACAGATCAGCATGAATGAAGTGGGACCTGGGTCTCTGGGACGTTGACGATCCACCACCTTCATGGGAAATCGGTGGGCCGACGTAATCCCCTAAATTCTGGCCACCGGCGCCAGCCAGACGTCTTTATGGCCTATCGTGGGTCGTTGTGGTGCATTTTAAATCGGCCAAAGGGCACTCAATTAATTAACAGCACAACAGTTAGGACAAGAACACAAACCAAAGGTGTACAGAACAAAAAACATTTGTTGAATAATAAAAAAATATTAGTATATAATATATCTTTCTACAAAATCAGAAAAATTCAAAAGGTTTTATGGAATATTTATCTTTAAAAGTTGTGAGATTATCTTATGAGAATCAAGAGTTTTTTTGACTTAATGAATATATTTTAAAATAGTTTCATTAAAATGGGGTTGATCAACAATATTTTAGAACTTTTTCAGTGTTATAATAAATTTCCTACAGTATTATTTAAATTATTTAAATTCCCCATTGAGGTTTCTGATATTAGGCTTGGTTATAATTGATTTACAGTCCAATTGTGACAGGATGTTTTATTAAATATTTATTTATTCTTAAGTACTTTTACACACACGTCTTTACAATTTGTTCGCTCGAGTGACAGTGATCTCGCTGCACGTAGGCAGCTCTCTTCAACCCCGAAAACCAGTAGCGACGCTCTCTGAGAGAGAGAGTGTAACCTGCTCTCTCAGAGAGCGTAACTCATCGAATCGTGTGCCCAGACCCCACTTAATGCAATTGGCCTGCTACACAATAAAACTATAAATTTTATTTAAAACAAACCCTAATTTTCTCTGTGTGCATTAATCAATTTCATTCAACAGTTTTTAGCCGCGTCTATGAAGTGTGGGCGAGTTTTTTGACCCGTCGACGGGCAGGAAATGCAGTGCGTTCTGAATGCCAAGGCGTATTCCAAACGATCGTTCGATGGTCAATGGTCGACGATCGTTGGCAGCCCTTTCCCCGTCTCCCCACTCCCCCCCTCAGAGGGGCTGGGTATCGTTGCACAAATGCGCTTTGCATAATTGAGTACTTTTTGTACTCAACCTTAAGGCTAACGATGACGTTGACGACGACGTTGGCGCTGCTGCCGCTTTTGGGGGCGTTTTGCGGGCTGCACTTGTTGCCACAGAAGGCCAGAATGGCCCTTGCACTGTTCAAAAATACGTACTTGAAATTACCCATTTCAATTTCACCAAGTCACAATTAAAGGGCCTTACGAGAAATGAAATTTTTGTATACTTTTAATTAGCCCTTTTGACCCAAAGCACGACTGGTTTTTAGAATCGTTGGGAAATTCATATTTTTTAGCTCACAAATGTGAAAACTGATGGTTATTATGAAATATTTAGGGGAATTTAAATATATAAATATTAAATTAAATGTCTTACAAAGCAGACTTCATTTTTAAAACTAATTATATTTATTGAAATTATATAAAGAGAATATTAATATAAATAATAGATTATCCTTTTTTAAACCTTTATTTTCAGTGTATCCCCATAGAGGCAGAGAGCTCTGGAGGGTGGTGGGACCGGGAGCATCCGGTCAGAATTTTTATGGGCGATCATTAAAAACGATAAGTGAAATCATATTTACAATCAATGAAATATGTTTCCAGGAAACTAATGTGTGTGGGCACTGGACTTGTTGCAATTGTCTGGGAATCAAAGTTAGGTTTGATTATGGAACTGATCGTGCCAGAAATAGAAAATTAGTGGTCATAGAAAATACTTCCAGAAAATACACGTAAACTGAATACTTAAATCATGGTTTCCTTTCATAATTCAAATTCATATATGGGTTTAAAAATATACATCTTATAGCATTTATATAATTATAATGTTGTTACCATTCAGTAATATATAAGTCAAGTTAATAAACTACTAATTTATCCGTTTTATTTATGGAGATTATTTATGGAGAGAACACGAAATTTTCACAGAAGTCCCCGATCATTATTTTCCAGCTCTATTTTTGCTCCGCAATAATTATGATCTTATAGAGCCAAGGAACTCTGGTTTTGGGTATAACCAAAGTCATGTTGGCTTATCTCGGTTCGTAGTAACACCGATCTGGCAGGATCGATCAGGATGCTCAGTGAAGACAGGGAATTCCCCGCCAGGCCGTCCATTGACGGCGTTTTTTCCCAGTTAGCTTAACTTGCTTGCGGCTTAGATAGATTATCGAGCATTAGGCCAGGATTACGGCTCCGTGTTTATGCCAGGCAGTCACTCGGGGTGGTTCCTGCGTCCAGCCAGTGTCCTGCCAGTATCCTGCATTCCCGGCAACTTGTGCAATTTGCAAAAATTCCAAAGCCAGGATCCGATCAAACAAGTCCCCGAGTCGCCGGCCAGCGGCGGATTTAATTGAGATCAGCCAAGGGAAAGTGTGTGCGAGTGTGAAAAACCGCGAAACGCTTTGGAAAATTCACCGCATTTCCCGCCCGGCTGGAAATTCGATTGCCAAACCGCAGCCACAACTTCCGCTAGTTGGTTTTGCCCAGTCCCAGTCCCCGGAGCAGAGTTTAATCTCAAACATGTGGGTACTGGCCCTGGTACTGGAACTGGCTCCGAGTCACATTAACATATCGTTAGCGATCTCGCTGGTGATCCGTGGGAAGTTTGGCGTTGGTCCAAGCCAGACGGACCGAGCCGAGGCCTAAGGGAAACTCCAATGGAAAACTCAGAGATTTGGCCAAAGGCTTAAAAAGAATTCAGAGGAGAAATGCTTTAGCTGAAATCCTTGCTTGTAATTATTTGAAAACTATAATAAAATATTGATAGGGAGAATAGAGATATATATTTCAGACATCCCCAGGTAAAATCTAAGGTTTATCCAAAGGCTTAGCACAAATATTCTTCCGCTGTCATAATTGTAGCGTAATTATTATTAATGTTGTCACACTCGATTATAAATCTCATATTTGCCCAATGTCTTTGGTGACATTTCAACCCCTTTTTTTCCTCCCTGCCTTTGTTTGCCTCTAATAATCATATTTCGGAATTTGCATAATTTCATAATTCCAATACAATATCAATTGTCCGATCCAGTGATAAGCCACTGCCAAGCAGAATTCCCGCTGCGAGAATCAATAAACGCTGGCCATATATCAAATGCGATGAAGAATGCTAAACCATCGGAACGAGTTTTATTTTATATTATTTTTTTTTTTGGTTTAGGTGAGAAAGGAACAACGAAAGCGTAATGAAGACATTACCGAAACACAATTAAACAGAAGACATTTGTCAGTTTGAAACTGAACCAACAACATATCAGATTTGTTCTCTAGATGCCATAAGAAATTGGGCAAAACAAGTTCTAGTGACTTTTCTATGGGTGTGCAAAAAGTAAACAAATATATTAGAATACCAAGACCAAGAATAAATCACAAATCTAGAAGCATACCTCAAAGATACCCCAAAAATTCCCCAGATAAAAATCACATCGAGCACATTCCTAACAAGACCACATAATAATAGTGCTTAAGGCCGAACAATTCTTAATTTACGCCCAAGTGAGATGAAAAATCTGTTGTAAACGATAAATATTTTCCGCCTTCTTTATTTATATAACCAAGAGAGATGAGCTCGAAGCGGTTCTCCTGCCGCCTCGGTCGGTCATCAACGCTATTTTTACTATATAATGAAACCTGAACAGTCATCGGAGATAATGAATACATCTCAATCGGCGGCTCAATTCCGTTGTTATCCAACCTGATGTGATTCATTGGTTTATCGGCGGCATTATGCCCAAATCTGTGGCCTGCTAGCCATTAATTTACTAATTGTAATGTTGGCCATAAAGTATTTAGCGGAATCCAAGCCAGACACGGGCCTAATCTTATCTGTGTGGACGGTGCTGGGACCTGGTCTGGTGTAGAGGACATCGATATACATACTCGTAGCGAAAATGCAAATTCCCCGCGCATAATCACAATAACAATGATGGCCAAAAGCAGAATGGCCAAGTCCGAGCTGTTAAATCAAAAATATGCAAATTACTTTTGAGAGCGAACACACACGAGTCCGAACGAGTTCAGCCGGAGACTCGGTCTCCGGGGTCGATTTGATTGATATGTGCTGGTTATACAGTCATTTGTCCAAAATGATGCAATCAAATCTATGTAAATCTGAGAGTCGTAGAGTCTTGACTCCCCCTGACATTTTGAGGCCGAGATATCCGTGGATCCGCGGGAAGGGGTTACCTAGGCACTTCCGTCAGCTTCTCGATATTTTTTTTTACGACATTCGGGCAATTAAGTAAAGTTGAAAAGTCAAAAAGTCAGCTCAGATATGTGCGTTACTTTTTTATTTATTTTTTTATTGTGTTTTTTAGCAAAACACCGTTTTTTTCTTCTCCTCCTCCTGGAACGGCGACCTTGACGCGTTTTCCCCTGAAACTCTGTTGTTTTTTACGCAACTCCTCACCCGTCGACGGCAATTGACTTTTTTATATGAGGTCAACGGAGGAGAGGTCCTGCTGCAGGACCATATGCGAAAAGACCTCCGCTTTATCCCTTTTCCACTTAAAAAAGTGTGGATGGGTGGTGGTCCTGGGTGCTCTGCATTGGCTGCAGGGTTACGGCCAGTCGGCTGCTCGACTTTTTATGGTTACGACCAGGTCGGGCCGACTTTATGACTTTGCCGCGGCCCAAAAACGCAGCCGCCGTCGCCGCCGCCGGGCCAAGTTTTTTAGGCCAATTCTTGTGGGTACCTAAGCCAGCGATTTCGTTACCTAATCGCGGGATCAGCTTACCTAAGCTGCAGATTATCCTAGGATCATAATTATGACGGCGGACGCGACACTCGGCACTCGGTTTTTTCTTTCTTTGCCGTTTTTTTTTTTAAAGATGCCCGCGCGCTGCCGTCCGGCAAAAAACTTAAGCCGGGGATTAAACCGGATTAAAGTCACATTGTCCTTATTTTTTTCCCTCTCCTTTCGGGCTAACTAATTACTCGGGAAAATTACCCATTTTGCTTGTGCGGAAATTCGCGAAAACGCTTCAACTGCAATGTTTCCCTTCCTTTTTCTTTTATTTTTTACAGAATTTTCGCAAACGCGTATACTTTTTATGGCGTGTGAGAAAAAAAGGAGGCAGGGTCAATAAAAACGAATCGATTAGAAAAAACGGCGGGCGGTTGGGTCGTCGAGAGTGAGAGATGGTTCTAGTTACTTTTTGACTTTTTTACAAGCCTTTTGTCTGATTTTTTCCCGTTGTTACCAGGAACTGTACTGATGCAACAAGGGAAAGTGAATTCGGGAATCTTCCCAGAATTTTCCTAACGATGTTTTCTAAAAAAAAAAAGGAGAACCAAAAACATAGTTTAGCAGATATTTGAACGTGTGGGCCACACTTCTTAGTCAAAAAGTCAAGGTTCTGGTGTTTTAGTTGACCAACAACCCTTTTGGCACAATGCCTAACCATAAAAAGGGTTAATGCACAAGGGGTTAAACAGGTAGCTCCTAACTTCCTTTTAGCCCCGAAGCAAACAACAATAAATATTCATAAAAAGAGTTAAGTGCTACCATAAGGCTCTTTGTTTGGACAAAGGGGAAATAATGTTGGGAACTGACTTTTGAAAGGGTTTGAATTGAATTCGATTGATAGTTGGTTTATTGCGCAATTTAAGGATGAAAGAAAGATGCTGGGGAAGTGTTTTATATTAATGGTTAATTTGTAATTGATTTTCTATATAATATATATGTTTTTAAAGTTTATTTGATTTCAAATTATAACATTTGAGGGATTTAAAAGAGTTTAGTTTAATAACAAAGTATAATGCTTTGAACTTCCTTTATAATATATAAATATTATTTGGTTTGATTACAATTTATTACTTACTGATACGGATTTTTAAGAATCATAGACATATAATTAGTAAATATCGTAAGCTAACAAGACAGTTTTATATGTAATAAAGAATTTTAAAGTACTGTACCTTAAAAATGGTGAGTTTAAAGCCAATAAAAATGATAAATAATTTACATTTATGATACTTTTAAAAATAATGTATAAAAGAGTAAGCAAAAGTAAGGTTTTAAGCACGGAAAACCAGGATGTTATTCTTTTTTTCATAAGCCAGGAAACCCTTTGGATTTCTGCTCCAAACTCCCCCCGAATTAATAGATATTATACATTTATTTATGCATATTTCAAGCCTGTACTTTACCCCAAGATTTATACATTTTATTAGGTAAATTACAAGAAAAGTAAAGCCAATAAAATGATGAATCACAGAGCAACAGGAACTTAATCTTCCCCAATCGATTTTAAGACTTAGATTAAGTACCTAAAAATCCCCCTGAACAGTGGCTGAAACCCCATAAAACCGACGGACTTTGAGGCAAAAGCCCCCCAGAGAATAAGCCTCCAACCATTTCGATTTGCAGCGGGCCAAAAGGCTCCGCCCAAAATGCCAAATAAAATGAGAAACTGTTAAAAATGAAGTCAATGGCTCGCGGTGGTGTGCGTGCTTCGAGTGAGAAATTCAGCCTCTGCCGCCCTTACAAACCGAGAGTTTCTTCAATAAATATAGCATCGAACTACGAATAATATCAGGGCAATGCAAATCACCGGATTACGGGGAAATCGAGCGAGAAAGAGTGAGAGAGACAAAACGGGACTCGAACTCAAGCCGAGTGAGTGTTTTCCCTCAGCTAACAGAGCCCTAACAGAGGCTCAATTTTCCACTCAAACTCAGAGTTCGAGTGCGATCGCTCTCTCACTCTCTTGATCTCTATAAAGGTGGTGGTTTTAGCCGTGATTTATCAGAGAGCTGGGGCTGGAAAACTGGTAATATACGTAAGTGTATGGGTGCATATACATAAGCCGAAAGAGTTCGGCCAGTAAAACAGACAACACAGAAACGCTTCTTGCCAGTCGAATCTCCCGGCCAGAAATCAGTCGTCAGCCAGTAGCCGAAGTGTCAGTTACACACATCGAGAGTGCGCCGGAACCTCAGTAGTATCAGTACCAGAGTATCAGTGTCATATCGCCACAGAGACCGAGAAACTCAGTGATCGAAAGATCGAACAGTGATCGAACAGTGACTCCTCAAAAAACGCAGAAGCGAAAAATCAACTCGCAACAGTGAGAAAATCGTGCAGCAACGATCGCGCATCGCTGCAATTAAAAAGTCGCCATAAAATCCAGTGCGCAGCCGAAAGTAAAAAAGAATTCAAGAAGGTAAGTTTTCTGAACGATCGAAGTCAATTCACGGTTTTTGTTTTTGGGTCGCGGCCGTCGGCGATTTTACGATCCCTTGTGCACTACTTTGATTTTTTACAGTTTCGCGCGAAAAACTCGCACAGACATTTCCCTGCCTCATTTTTTTTTTTTGCAATTTTCATAAACGAAATTCGGTTTATTTCCATTTTTTTGACTCGGGAAAAATCGGCGTGAGTTTTTATGACCGAAAGAATACGTCAAGGTCTGGACTCCTCTTGCATTTTTTTAGGGAACACAAATTCCGCGCAGCGTTCGTAATGACTTCATCTAAAAAAGAAAATCTACCTGAGTTTTATGGCTGGACAGCGCGAAAAAAATGAAAATGAACGCATAGGGTTGCATAATCCGGCAGCTTAAGTTTTTTCCTTTTCTTTCGGATCGTAAAAAACGCCCATCCTGCGGAGTTTTTCACAGTTTCCTATAAATATCCTGGGCCGAGCGTCTCTCAGCATCAGTTGCTCGGCAGCCTTCCCAACGAACAGATCACAGCAAATCGTGAGAGAAAAATCAGACATTATTCCGATCGAACTCAGTAGTCAACATGGTGTTCAACTTGGTTAGTGTCCTCCTCAGCCTCAGACTCAAATGGATTACCGCCTAACGAAGCCTCAACTGGATTAAACCCTTACTAACTACGGATTTATCTCTTTCGATTTACAGATGAACCAGACATGCAAAGTGTGCGGCGAGCCGGCGGCGGGCTTCCATTTTGGCGCCTTCACCTGTGAGGGCTGCAAGGTATGTTGTGTCCCAAAAATTCATTGAGAATTTATATTACTGAAAAATTACCAACCCAAGAAAAAAAAAAACAAGAGGAAATTCTTCGCCCAAAGGGTTATGGGAAATACTAGAGAAATGTTCTAGAAAGTAAAGTGTGATTCATCAAGCATAGTTCTCCTTGGAAAACTCTGTTCTTTTAACTTAAAAAAATCCACTAAACATTCTAAGTAATTTGTTCCTAAAATATTTCCTCTAATGAATGGTTCTTCTCAAGTATTTACTGTCCGCTTCTTGAATGAATTTCGTTTTTGTTACAAGGCTACTTTTCTACCAACCAAGACACAACTAACCCTTTATCCTTTATCTTCTTGCTTGCAGTCCTTCTTCGGCAGATCCTACAACAATATCAGCACCATTAGCGAGTGCAAAAACGAGGGCAAGTGCATCATTGACAAGAAGAACCGCACCACCTGCAAGGCCTGCCGCTTGAGGAAGTGCTACAATGTGGGCATGTCCAAGGGTGGATCCCGCTATGGTCGTCGCTCCAACTGGTTCAAGATACACTGCCTGCTCCAAGAGCATGAACAGGCTGCGGCGGCGGCTGGCAAGGCACCACCTACCTCCGTGGGCGGAGCTCCCTCAGCCTCCTCGCCAGTGGGTTCACCTCATACACCCGGATTCGGTGACATGGCCGCCCATCTGCATCACCATCAGCAGCAGCAGCAGCAGCACCAGCTTCAGAGCCAACAGCACCAGCTCCAGAATCAGCAGCGCCACCCACACATGCCTCTGCTGGGCTATCCCAGTTACCTGCCCGACGCCGCCCTGCCCTTCTTCAGCATGATGGGCCAGCATCCGTCGCCCTTCCAACTGCCGCCGCATCTGCTCTTCCCCGGCTACCATGCCAGTGCCGCCGCTGCAGCGGCCTCGGCAGCGGATGCAGCCTACCGCCAGGAGATGTACAAGCACCGCCAGAGCGTTGACTCCGTGGAGTCACAGAGCCGCTTCAGCCCGGCCAGCAATCCGGCGGCTGCCATGCCTCAGTCCACGCCCTCGGCCCGCCAGTCGCCCATTGATGTGTGCCTGGAGGAGGATGTGCAGTCCGTGCATAGCCAGCAGTCCGGCCATCTCCTGCATCCGGTGGCCATCCGAGCCACGCCCACGCAGCAGCACCTCCACTCCACGCCCAGCAGTCCGCTGAGTTTCGCCGCCAAGATGCAGAGCCTGTCGCCGGTTTCCGTGTGCTCCATTGGCGGAGAGACCAGTGCTCCGGCTCCAGTTGCACCCGCTCATGTTCCTGCTTCCGCCGCCGCTCCTTTAACCGCACCCATTACCACCACCGCCCAGGATGGACCCATGGATCTGAGCATGAAGACATCGCGCAGCTCGGTGCACAGCTTCAACGACAGCGGCAGCGAGGACCAGGAGCTGGAGGCGGCGCCGCGCAGGAAGTTCTATCAGCTGGAGGCCGAGTGCCTCAGCAGCAGCAGCTCCTCGCACTCCAACTCCTCCGCCGCTGAGGTGAAGCGCCAGAAACTGGGCGGCGGATCGGAAGCAACGCACTTTGGAGGCTTTGCGGTGGCCCACAATGCGGCCAGCGCCATGCGGGGCATCTTTGTGTGCGTTTAGGCTGCACTGGAGGAAAGCCACGGGGAGGAGCCTTCCCCGTTCCACCCTCCCCCTCCTAGTTGTTGTTTTTTTTTTCGCTTATTTTTGTTAGTTGGAGAAAATGTAAATTTTTCGTGTGCGCTCGCTCGCACCTAGAGAGAGCGAGAGAGAGGCGGACAGGTTTGGCTGGACAGAGATGGAGGCACCTTGGCCAGGTAGTTGCATCGCCCTCACACACCGTCACACACACACACCAACACGTACACACACACACACACCTATTGAGCTCAGATCCAAAAATTACTTTTATGAAACGTTAAAAATTGTAAATATCTTTGAGCTTGTTTGCAATTGTACTTGAAAGTTGAAAGTTTGAAGCTAGAAACGTAAGTTAGCAATCATTCCCACCCTCGAAACGCTATTGTACATAGAAATTGTTAAGTCTAAGCATGATCTTAATTGTGTCTAAGTATTTTATTCTATTTTAGTCCTTAGTTCTATGTGCATCTCCTTAGATTGGCTTTTAATTTTATAAAAGAACAAATAAAATTTATGAAAAATTAAACTTGAATATTTTACTTAATGCGGATTTAGATGAAATTAAAATCTATAAAAGAACTTCTTTTTAGATCTGGGTTAATAATGTTCTTTGATGATCAAAATAAGTAGTTTCTCTTCTCACAATCTCCAATCTTAAACACATTCTTGTGTACTTTATGCCCCATTTAAAAACTATCTTTCAGATGTATCTATTAGCTGTCAACACAACTCCCTAGCTACCGCACATTCCTAGGATCAAAGCCGATAAATTACTTGGCTATTCAAGCTACCACTCTTGTTTCAAAATCAGTTCTGTTCAGACATATATGTATGGTATATAGTAGTAGTGTGCTATCTGATCGGCGGTGTCTTTGCCTCGACTTTTCGTTAACCACGGGCCAAATGGGCGTGGCCTGTCAATGGCAACACCAAAAACGAGACGGCTAACAAATGCTTTGGCATAAATTCAATCAACATTCGGTTGCAAGTCGATCGCGATGGCCGATGGCCGATAATAAAACCGATATAGCTGCCGTTAAGTGCTTTTTGTGTGCCTGCCTGCCCATTGCAATCGTCCATACGGTTGAGTTGTAAATTAAAAATGCCACAAATGTTACGCACAGATATTTGTCGATCGGAGCACCCGCTTTATATGCTTCATATGCCACATAGGCCTATGGCTAGAGTACGCCTCCTCCGATATGCCACCACCACGTGCTGCTTCAAATAATAAACTTTATATTAACACATACAAAAGTCATACGGCCCGTTGATGGACAGAATTTTAATCACTTAATTAGCCGAACTTTGTTTATGGCCCGACGACGGCCCCGGTGTCCATATATCCACTCTGCCCGATGATGAATGGCTCGAAAAGGCACGAGAACTATGCAGGATCCCCAACTCTCCAAGTTTTGGATGCAAAATATATAGGAGTATAGCGTAATGCTCGACTTCTCCCCTGTCAAAAGAAGTCTCGGGGCGTCGAATCGGTTTGGACTGGAGATCATATCATCAATATGCATGATGGAGCGTCTTCGGGGGCGGCGGGTGACCAGCGCACGCCATTGTCCAGCGACGATCGCATTCCGACGTGTGTTTTGTCGTCATTGTTTCTAAATTTATTTTTATAGTTTATTAAAGAGTCATAGTATAAAAAAGAGCCACACGAAATAAAGTACAATAAATTCAGGCCGATGGCTGTCAATATACTTTTAAGTGGGTCTCAAATTAAAAAGAGAAATATATTATAAAACGTTGTAGAATTAGGAAATTTATTAGTAAACTTAGCAATGCTTAAATATAACAATATAAATAAATTCAGCAATTAAATTAACAACTAACTCGAAAAAATTAAAAATGTAAGCTTGGTTTCATTACCTTTTTACCTAACAAATTCCTCCAAACTTAACTCCCATCGACTACCCTCATTAATCATGATCACTGATCAAGAATGACCACAATTAGGTGACCTTAACTAAGTTAAGGAATGTGTAAGCTCGATTTGTTGACTAAGATACCTAACACTAATCAAGTTCGTGTCCTCAGTCTTTTGTTTTTCCATATGATAAACCAAGTCTAACTCACTCCCCCCGAGAATCTGAAAAGCCCACCAAAAGCTGAATTAAAACACATTTAGCCCGATTTCAAAGTATATCGATATCATTCGTCAAGTTCGTTGCTCAAGTCTTTCGTTTGCCTGCTTTTTCTTAGGGTTCACCCCGCCTGTCAAACTGAAAAAGTGGTTCATTTGTCTCATCGCCCCAATCTCTCCAATCAAAAAGCCATTTAGACAACAGCAGACGAGAAGAATGGGACAGGCGGAGGGAAATAAAATCGATTCAGCATAAAAATGGACCAAAAGTATAACATTTCAAAATTTTATTGACTGTCAAAATGCAGGCGCCTATCGCCCCCATCCGCAGACAAGCGGGCTAGATCAGGTTACCTGGCGCCAGCGACTGGGCCTCAAGATTTTAAGACTTTCAAGATGCTTTATTGGCCCCACGGAGAGTGTGTGTGTAGTCTATGATAGATGCATTACTAATAGAGTTCGGGACAAAGACTCGGTGAGTCGCGCTTAGCACATCTTTAAAAATAGTTCAAGACAAGCACCTGCAAGTGACTTTTTTCGCATTTAATTATTTATCACCGTTCGCAATGCTAATGTTCCTTCGGTTATAGCTTTCAAATTAATGCATGCAACACATATATAATACGCGCGACGTAAGAACATGTTTATTAAATTAAATAATTGCACCCGGAGTGGAGTGGCATCGCGCTAAAAAAATAAATTCCCAATTTGCATTTGAATCTGACAATGGAATTGAAGAAACAATATGGATATAAAAAAAAATAGCAAATATTATTGACACATTATAGTGGAAACATGTTTCTAATGAGAAATTATGCAAAGATTTGCATAAAATTTTGTTAAAGGCAAGCCACAGCAATCTTAACAGAGTCAATGCCTCGGCTGGGCTGTAGCTTTAGCTTTAGCTTCAGCGTCCGGTAGCGGCCTTAATTACTGTCGAGCTTCTCTAGAGGGTAAGGGGCGTGTTCCCAGACTCAGTCAGACTTGGCTGACAAATACTCGTAGTCAAAACAAACTATGACATACAGCCGATATTAATATCTTCAGCTGCCTGAAGAGCCAGAGATCATTAACTCTCAAGGATCCGAGGATTGAGGAAGCAAAACTGAAGTATTTATATTGAGGAGGGGGTTTTTGATGCTGGAAATTATGATAGGAATAATATTAATATATTAATTATTATATCTGCTCTCTGTTAATTAACAACATTTTACTTAATTTCTGTAAAACTTCTGCTTTATAAATATATAAAAGATATATATGGCACTTCCCACTTGACCTCAGCTCTGAACTCTCTCTCTCTCCTTGGCCACTGCATTTCATTGCTATCCCAAGATCCAATCGGATGACGGACAGTTCCATTGTTCTTCCAGAGCCAGCAAGACATTAACCCACTTAAGGCAGCCCGGGAGAACGCAGAGTTGCGAGTTGGCCAAATCACATGGCACATGGCCTCCAATCGGAGGCTCATCTTTATTGATTTCGATTCCGAAGGCACCACCTTTAACCCGAGCTCGGAAAGTCTTCGCCAGGCATCTTTGGGGGCGCTTGGCTCACACGAGATCGAGGGACTCGAGCCCATAGCTGGCGCTGGTAATTAGTGATCTGGTGCACTTGATATGCACCTTAATTTAAACATTTCGTACACACCCAGCCGGGGCACGCATTCTGATTTCAGTTGTTTATTTTTCAACCTCGACCAGCGGACCCTTCTTCCAGAGCTTCACGGACAAGTTCTGCATGTAGCGCATGCCGTTGGCTTGTTCCTGGCCCATTCCCATTGCCAGTTTCAATCCTCATTCCCATTCTCATTCTGTTGGCTCAAAGCCTTTTGCCTTTGCCATTCCCTTCGCGCGCCGTGTTCTCGTTTAAACGTTTATTTAACTTAAACGAACGTTGCGTGTCGATTAAAGTGCTGCGATTAAGGTACGACCTGATCCGGTCTTCTGGTATCTGTTTCGTTTCTTTTTTTTTCGGATTTTTGGTGACCACTCTGAAAGGGGTATATGTGGTTGAAGGGGTGCTCAAAGTTTCCTCACTCTAATATTTATTTATTTAACAATAAAAACAATTTAGTTGATTTTTTGTAGATTTAATTACTCTCCAAAGAGTTATGGAATATTTGTTAGACATTACAGGGTACCTCTTGCGTTCACTAATTATATTTTTTTGCATTTTCTTTGCAGGTCTCTTAAGCGATTCCTTTGCTCTTCGAGGTGCATGCGTGTCCAGTGAACTTACAGGTCAGGCATACGCATGCCAGCGATAAAGTTGAGCCAGCAGCATCATTATGATCATCATGATCATCATCGTCATGGGGAAGAGGATCATTGGCATCTTGACCTAACCCAGACACGGTTACAGCTGCATAAATCCTTCCGTTGACTTTCTCTCTGGGGCCTGCTTCTTTACGACAAATTTGCCCATTGTTCTCCTTTGGCCGCTTGATGATGTCCTTTTGTCTTCGCTTACGGTGTGTGTATGTGTGTTTGGCCCCCGACAGCGTGCCTCTCCACAAACAGAGGTCCAGTCCAGTGTATCCTATGTCCTATGTCCACACCGTCCCCGAGGACCGCACACCACAATCCACAATATTAATTTGTGCAGCCAGCACCTCGAACATTTACGAGGACAAAACGCCTAACGAACTCGAGCTCAAATCAACTCAGGGGTCTGATCCTTATCGCGGTAGCGGCACTGACAAAAATAGGTTATCTCCTCTTAAGAAATCCAATTAAAAGTTATAACTAAGTTGGGAGTATCAGAATCTTTATTATTTATTAACTTAATATTATATTAAATAAATCTTAAAAACATATTTTTGGTAAAAAAGCACTTTCTTCGCTGTAGATCCATATTCCTTCGACTTTTCTCCGAGTGTATTGGCCTATCTGGCTGCCTGATTATTGGTTGTTGGTTTTTTAGTGCCTTGTCTTATCTTGTTACCCTTATTTATTTTTGAAAAAAACGAAATTAGATTTAAGGTCTGCGTGAGGCTGGGCCACAAGTGATTTTGATAGCTCGTAAAGAAGTCAAAAAGTCAAAATTTTTAGTGGGAAAACCCACGATCTTGGACTCGCACTCGTTCCTCGGAGCGACCACCGCAGCAGGAGCTCCTCTCATCTCGTGGAGCGGAGACAGGGAATTTATGTTACAGCTCGTTAAATTAGTCTAATGGGGCAGAGAGCCAGCTGTCCGCCGGCTGGGATTTGGTGGAAAGGGTTGACATCATTAGGACGGATCTCGATCGCGGCCAGCAACGTGTGCGACCTTCTCCTCTCGCCATTTCCCGGTCTCTCAACGCCGCGACTCGACTCGACTCTACTCGATTTCGTTTCGATATTTCCCCCCTAAAACGTTGGAGCAGGGCCATCCACTTCGGGCCGGCAATCACCTGAGCTGACACTTAAGGCTTCTTCAGCAGCTCGCAA